TGTACAGGCGTACAATCATAACCTTTAGGGTCAGGTGAAAAGGCGTACAGCCGTTACATTAAGTGTTAGGTGTACAATCGTAATCTTAAGTGTTAGGTGTACATGTGTACAACCGTTACCTTAAGTGTTTCGTGTACAGCTATATAACCGTTACCGTAAGTGTTAAGTGTACAGGTGTACAATCGAAACTTTAAGTGTTAGGTGTACAGGTGTACAACCGTTACCTTAAGTGTTTCGTGTACAGCTATATAACCGTTACCGTAAGTGTTAAGTGTACAGGTGTACAATCGAAACTTTAAGTGTTAGGTGTACAGGTGTACAACCGTTACAATAGGTGTTAAATGTACAGGCGTTCAATCATAACCTTAAGTGTTAAGTGTACAGGTGTACAACCATTACATTAGCTGTTAGGTGTACAGGCGTACAACCGCTACCTTAAGTGTTAGATGTACATGTGTACAACCGTTACCTGAAGTGTTAGGTGTACATGTGTACAACCGTTACCTTAAGTGTTAAGTGTACAGGCGTACAACCGTCATATTAGCTGTTAGGTGTACAGGCGTACAGCTGTTACATTAGGTGTTAGGTGTACAGGCGTACAATCGTTACATTAGGTGTTAGGTGTGCAGGCGTACAATCGTTACATTAGGTGTTAGGTGTACAGGCGTACAATCGTTACATTAGGTGTTAGGTGTGCAGGCGTACAATCGTTACATTAGGTGTTAGGTGTACAGGCGTACAACCCTTACATTAGGTGTTAGGTGTACAGGTGTACAACCGTTACATTAGGTGTTAGGTGTACAGGCGTACAATCGTGACATTAGGTATTAGGTGTACAGGTGTACAACCGTTACCTTAAGTGTTTTGTGTACAGGTGTACAACCGTTACATTAGGTGTTAGGTGTACAGGTGTACAATCGTTACATTAGGTGTTAGGTGTACAGGCGTACAACCGTTACCTAAAGAGTTAGGTGTACATGTGTACAACCGTTACATTAGGTGTATCGTGTACAGGCGTACAACCGTTACCTTAAGTGTTAGGTGTACAGGCGTACAACCATTACACTAGGTGTTAGGTGTACAGGCGTTCCACCGTTACCTTAAGTGTTAGGTGTACAGGCGTACAATCGTGACATTAGGTATTAGGTGTACAGGTGTACAACCGTTACCTTAAGTGTTTTGTGTACAGGTGTACAACCGTTACATTAGGTATAGGTGTACAGGCGTACACCCGTTACCTTATGTGTTAGGTGTACAGGCGTACAACCGTTACCTTAAGTGTTAGGTGTATAGGTGTAGGTGTAGGTGTACAGGTGTGTAACCTTTAGGGTCAGGTGAAAAGGCGTACAGCCGTTACATTAAGTGTTAGGTGTACAATCGTAATCTTAGTGTTAGGTGTACAGGTGTACAACCGTTACCTTAAGTGTTAAGTGTACAGGCGTACAACCGTCATATTAGCTGTTAGGTGTACAGGCGTACAACACTTACATTAGGTGTTAGGTGTACAGGTGTACAACCGTTACCTAGTGTTTCGTTACACTATATAAGTTGTGTGTGTAAGTGTGTACAATTCTGTTGATTAAGGTGTGTAGGTGTTGATGAAGGTGTGTACATTAGGTGTTAGGTGTTAAATGTACAGTCAATCTGTTAACCTTAAGTGTTGTGTACAGGTGTACAACCATTACATTGATGTTAGGTGTACAGGCGTGTACCTTAAGTGTTATGTACATGTGTGTACAACCGTTACCTGAAGTGTTAGGTGTACATGTGTGTAAGTGTTAAGTGTACAGGCGTACAACCATTATAGGTGTTAGGTGTGTAGTTACCTTAAGTGTAAGGTTACAGGTGTACAACCGTTACCTAAAAGGTGTGTAGGTATTCTGTTAATGAAGGTGTGTAGGGTATTCTGTTGATGAAGGTGTGTAGGTACAACCGTTACCTTAAGTGTGTGTTGATGAAGGTGTGTAGGTATCTGTTGATGAAGGTGTGTAGGTATTCTGTTGATGAAAGTGTGTAGGTATTCTGTTGATGAAGGTGTGTAAGAAATGAAGGTGTGTAGGTATTCTGTTGATGAAGGTGTGTAGGTGTGTTATTGTTACGTGTTGATGAAGGTGTGTAGGTGTTTTATTGTTACGTGTTGATGAATGTGTGTAGGTATTCTGTTGATGAAAGTGTTTAGGTATTCTGTTAATGAAGGTGTGTAGGTATTCTGTTGATTTTTTAGTGTTGATGAAGGTGTGTAGGTGCAGGCGTACATTCTGTTGATAAGGTGTGTGTGTATTAGGTGTTGATGAAGGTGTGTTGATGAAGGTGTGTAGGTATTCTGTTGATGAAGGTGTGTTGGTATTCTGTTGATGAAGGTGTGTCGGTATTCTGTTGATGAAGGTGTGTAAGTATTTTTATTGTTACGTGTTGATGAAGGTGTGTAGGTATTGTGTTGATGAAGGTGTGTGTATGAAGGTGTGTAGGTGTGTAGGTATTCTGTTTGAGGTGTGAAGTGTGTGTAGGTATTCTGTTGATGAAGGTGTGTATTTTATTGTTCGTGTTGATGAAGGTGTGTAGGTATTCTGTTGATGAAGGTGTGTAGGTATTCTGTTGATGAAGGTGTGTAGGTATTCTGTTGATGAAGGTGTGTAGGTATTCTGTTGATGAAAGTGTGTAGGTATTCTGTTGATGAAGGTGTGTAAGAATTTTTATTGTTTCGTGTTGATGAAGGTGTGTAGGTATTGTGTTGATGAAGGTGTGTAGGTATTGTGTTGATGAAGGTGTGTAGGTATTCTGTTGATGAAGGTGTGTAGGTATTCTGTTGATGAAGGTGTGTAGGTATTCTGTTGATGAAGGTGTGTAGGTATTCTGTTGATGAAGGTGTGTCGGTATTCTGTTGATGAAGGTGTGTAAGTATTTTTATTGTTACGTGTTGATGAAGGTGTGTAGGTATTGTGTTGATGAAGGTGTGTAGGTATTCTGTTGATGAAGGTGTGTAGGTATTCTGTTGATGAAGGTGTGTAGGTATTCTATTGATGAAGGTGTGTAGGTATTTTGTTGATGAAGGTGTGTAGGTTTTCTGTTGATGAAGGTGTGTAGGTATTGTGTTGATGAAGGTGTGTAGGTATTCTGTTGATGAAGGTGTGTAGGTATTCTGTTGATGAAGGTGTGTAGGTATTCTGTTGATGAAGGTGTGCAGGTATTCTGTTGATGAAGGTGTGTAGGTATTCTGTTGATGAAGGTGTGTAGGTATTCTGTTGATGAAGGTGTGTGTGTTATGAAGGTGGTATTCTGTTGATGAAGGTGTGTAGGTATTCTGTTGATGAAGGTGTGTGTAGGTGAAGGTTCTGTTGATGAAGGTGTTGATGAAGGTGTGTAGGTATTCTGTTGATGAAGGTGTGCAGGTATTCTGTTGATGAAGGTGTGTAGGTATTCTGTTGATGAAGGTGTGTAGGTATTCTGTTGATGAAGGTGTGTAGGTATTTTATTGATACGTGTTGATGAAGGTGTGTAGGTATTCTGTTGATGAAGGTGTGTAGGTATTCTTTTGATGAAGGTGTGTAGGTATTCTGTTGATGAAGGTGTGCAGGTATTCTGTTGATGAAGGTGTGTAGGTATTCTGTTGATGAAGGTGTGTAGGTATGAAGGTGTGTAGGTATTTGATGAAGGTGTGTAGGTTGTTGATGAAGGTGTGTAGGTATGTTGATGAAGGTGTGTAGGTGTTGATGAAGGTGTGTAGGTATTCTGTTGATGAAGGTGTGTAGGTATTCTGTTGATGAAGGTGTGTAGGTATTTTATTGTTACGTGTTGATGAAGGTGTGTAGGTATTCTGTTGATGAAGGTGTGTAGGTATTCTGTTGATGAAGGTGTGTAGGTATTCTGTTGATGAAGGTGTGTAGGTATTCTGTTGATGAAGGTGTGTAGGTATTCTGTTGATGAAGGTGTGTAGGTATTCTGTTGATGAAGGTGTGTAGGTAGGTGTGTTCTGTTGATGAAGGTGTGGTGTGTGAAGTTGATGAAGGTGTGTAGGTGTGTAGGTATTCTGTTGATGAAGGTGTGTAGGTATTGTGTTGATGAAGGTGTGTAGGTATTCTGTTGATGAAGGTGTGTAGGTATTCTGTTGATGAAGGTGTGTAGGTATTCTGTTGATGAAGGTGTGTAGGTATTTTGTTGTGAAGGTGTGTAGGTATTTGTTGATGAAGGTGTGTAGGTGTTGATGAAGGTGTGTAGGTATTCTGTTGATACGTGTTGATGAAGGTGTGTAGGTGTTGATGAAGGTGTGTAGGTATTCTGTTGATGAAGGTGTGTAGGTATTCTGTTGATGAAGGTGTGTAGGTATTCTGTTGATGAAGGTGTGTAGGTATTCTGTTGATGAAGGTGTGTAGGTATTCTGTTGATGAAGGTGTGTAGGTATTTTGTTGATAAAGGTGTGTAGGTATGGTATTGTTACGTGTTGATGAAGGTGTGTAGGTATTCTGTTGATGAAGGTGTGTAGGTATTCTGTTGATGAAGGTGTGTAGGTATTTTATTGTTACGTGTTGATGAAGGTGTGTAGGTATTCTGTTGATGAAGGTGTGTAGGTATTCTGTTGATGAAGGTGTGTAGGTATTCTGTTGATGAAGGTGTGTAGGTATTTTATTGTTACGTGTTGATGAAGGTGTGTAGGTATTCTGTTGATGAAGGTGTGTAGGTATTTTGTTGATGAAGGTGTGTAGGTATTCTGTTGATGAAGGTGTGTAGGTATTCTGTTGATGAAGGTGTGTAGGTATTCTGTTGATGAAGGTGTGTAGGTATTCTGTTGATGAAGGTGTGTAGGTTTTCTGTTGATGAAGGTGTGTAGGTATTGTGTTGATGAAGGTGTGTAGGTATTCTGTTGATGAAGGTGTGTAGGTATTCTGTTGATGAAGGTGTGTAGGTATTCTGTTGATGAAGATGTGTAGGTATTCTGTTGATGAAGGTGTGTAGGTATTTCATTGTTACGTGTTTATGAAGGTATATATACTTGGTATGATTACCTGCGATATGTTCGTCTGTTAGCCCCTCAGCCTGCAATAGAAAGAAAATGCTAGATGACCAGGTGTTACGAAAACAGACGCTACATTAAATGTTTAAAGTTATTGTTAATAATGGAAAAGTACTTCAGTGTGTATATACAGTATAAATAGGTCGACATATCCGTCCGTTACATATGAAACACAGTAATACGACGTTCTTACACAGGTCGTAGTAACCATGCTGCAGAAAAATCTCTTAACTATATGGCCGAGTTTATAAATACCAAGTACTGCCATACCTTTGTCTCTAAGTTAAATTTAGAATTTACATACTATGTTGTTCCTGGTACAGGCACGTCTACTTTAATGTAAACCTACCATTGGAAGGTGTCCGGCCTGGTTAAACATTAAAACACTCCACCCTGTTCATGTTGAGAGTGCAGTGTGATACGCTGTATGATGTATCTATCCTCCCATTGTTGTATATATGGCGTGACTCAGCACACGCGCCAGTATTTTACAAATCCCCTGTCGTTATATTGGATGTTTTCTGTAACTATTCCCACGCTATGTATCATGTAGTATACACTACATACGCTGATAAGTTTCACCAAAAGCTTAAAATCTGTTTGTATGTGAAATACACTTACCATGGAGTTCCCTATTTAATCCATCTCTTCCCTCGATACATGAACAATCGATCAATATTAAGGTATGTAACAGTGACAGTATTATGGTAAAGAGGTCGTATTTTGAAGCTCTCGTTTCTTAACCACTGTCCTCCTTAATGTTGTACATTTTCATGTCTGAATCACACCCCGACCTTCACTTTACAAGTGCTTCAAATATTTCTATACTGCAGTGTAAAAAGGCCCAGAGAGAATGCGCTCTACACCATATATATATTGTTTAACAGAGTTTCCGTTCCCGTTTCAGTGAGCTATGTCAAATCGCTACTACGGTAAGTGGGATCGGGTCTTATCACTGATGGTGAAGGATGGAAAGGGGGATGGTCTTCGTCATCAAGATGTGCTGGACGGATATCAAAACGAAAATTTAAACCAGTGAATGTAATTGATTCTGAGTAAGCCTGTAACCGATATCATTATTTATTTCAATGTTTCCGCTAGGATTCAATATCATTTAGTCGAGCTGAAGAGAAAATCAATGGCTAGTATATTTCATTTCCGTGCACACATAGACAATTTTCGAACATATAACACCTTCCCGTCAATACCAGCTGTAAGTCTGGTTCGGACACATAACACCTTCCCGTTAATATCAGCTGTAAGTCTGGTCCGGACATATAACACCTTCCCGTCAATACCAGCTGTAAGTCTGGTCCGGACACATAACACCTTCCCGTTAATACCAGCTGTAAGTCTGGTCCGGACATTTCATCAATTCCCGTCATTACCAGCTGTAAGTCTGGTCTGGACATATAACACCCTCCCTTCAATACCAGCTGTAAGTCTGGTCCGGACATATAACACCTTCCCGTCAATACCAGCTGTAAGTCTGGTCCGGCTGTAAGTCTGGTCCGGACATATAACACCTTTCCGTCAATACCAGCTGTAAGTCTTGTTCGGACATATAAAACCTTCCCGTCAATACCAGCTGTAAGTCTGGTCCGGACATATAACACCTTCCCGTCAATACCAGCTGTAAGTCTGGTCCGGACATATAACACCTTCCCGTCAATACCAGCTGTAAGTCTGGTCCGGACATATAACACCTTCCCGTCAATACCAGCTGTAAGTCTGGTCCGGACATATAACACCTTCCCGTCAATACCAGCTGTAAGTCTGGTCCGGACATATAACACCTTCCCGTCAATACCAGCTGTAAGTCTGGTCCGGACATATAACACCTTCCCGTCAATACCAGCTGTAAGTCTGGTCCGGACATATAACACCTTCCCGTCAATACCAGCTGTAAGTCTGGTTCGGACACATAACACCTTCCCGTTAATACCAGCTGTAAGTCTGGTCCGGACATATAACACCCTCCCTTCAATACCAGCTGTAAGTCTGGTCCGGACATATAACACATTCCCGTCAATACCAGCTGTAAGTCTGGTCCGGACACATAACACCTTCCCGTCAATACCAGCTGTAAGTCTGGTCCGGACATATAACACCTTCCCGTCAATACCAGCTGTAAGTCTTGTTCGGACATATAACACCTTCCCGTCAATACCAGCTGTAAGTCTGGTCAGGACACATAACACCTTCCCGTTAATACCAGCTGTAAGTCTGGTCCGGACACATAACACCTTCCCGTTAATACCAGCTGTAAGTCTGGTCCGGACATATAACACCTTCCCGTCAATACCAGCTGTAAGTCTGGTCCGGACATATAACACCTTCCCTTCAATACCAGCTGTAAGTCTGGTCCGGACATATAACACCTTCCCGTCAATACCAGCGGTAAGTCTGGTCCGGACACATAACACCTTCCCGTCAATACCAGCTGTAAGTCTGGTCCGGACATATAACACCTTCCCGTCAATACCAGCGGTAAGTCTGGTCAGGACACATAACACCTTCCCGTCAATACCAGCCGTAAGTCTGGTCAGGACACATAACACCTTCCCGTCAATACCAGCTGTAAGTCTGGTCCGGACATATAACACCTTCCCGTTAATACCAGCTGTAAGTCTGGTCCGGACATATAACACCTTCCCGTCAATACCAGCTGTAAGTCTGGTCCGGACATATAACACCCTCCCTTCAATACCAGCTGTAAATCTGGTCCGGACATATAACACATTCCCGTCAATACCAGCTGTAAGTCTGGTCAGGACACATAACACCTTCCCGTCAATACCAGCTGTAAGTCTGGTCCGGACATATAACACCTTCCCGTTAATACCAGCTGTAAGTCTGGTCCTGACATTTCATCAATTCCCGTCATTACCAGCTGTAAGTCTGGTCCTGACATTTCATCAATTGCCGTCAATACCAGCTGTAAGTCTGGTCCGGACATATAACACCTTCCCGTCAATACCAGCTGTAAGTCTGGTCCGGACATATAACACCTTCCCGTCAATACCAGCTGTAAGTCTGGTCCGGACATATAACACCTTCCCGTCAATACCAGCTGTAAGTCTGGTCCGGACATATAACACCTTCCCGTTAATACCAGCTGTAAGTCTGGTCCGGACATATAACACCTTCCCGTCAATACCAGCTGTAAGTCTGGTCCGGACATATAACACCTTCCCGTCAATACCAGCTGTAAGTCTGGTCCGGACACATAACACCTTCCCGTCAATACCAGCGGTAAGTCTGGTCCGGACATATAACACCTTCCCGTTAATACCAGCTGTAAGTCTGGTCCTGACATTTCATCAATTCCCGTCAATATCAGATGTAAGTCTGGTCCGGACATATAACACCTTCCCTTCAATACCAGCTGTAAGTCTGGTCCGGACATATAACACCTTCCCTTCAATACCAGCTGTAAGTCTGGTCCGGACATATAACACATTCCCGTCAATACCAGCTGTAAGTCTGGTCCGGACATTTCATCAATTCCCGTCATTACCAGCTGTAAGTCTGGTCTGGACATATAACACCTTCCCGTCAATACCAGCTGTAAGTCTGGTCCGGACATATAACACCTTCCCGTCAATACCAGCTGTAAGTCTGGTCCGGACATATAACACCTTCCCGTCAATACCAGCTGTAAGTCTGGTCCGGACATATAACACCTTCCCGTCAATACCAGCTGTAAGTCTGGTCCGGACATATAACACCTTCCCGTCAATACCAGCTGTAAGTCTGGTCCGGACATATAACACCTTCCCGTCAATACCAGCTGTAAGTCTGGTCCGGACATATAACACCTTCCCGTCAATACCAGCTGTAAGTCTGGTCCGGACATCATAACACCTTCCCGTCACCTTGTAAGTCTGGTCCGGACATATAACACCTTCCCGTTAATATAATATGTATGTCTGGTCCGGACATATAACACCTTCCCGTCAATACCAGCTGTAAGTCTGGTCCGGACATATAACACCTTCCCGTCAATACCAGCTGTAAGTCTGGTCCGGACATATAACACATTCCCGTCAATACCAGCTGTAAGTCTGGTCCTGACATTTCATCAATTCCCGTCATTACCAGCTGTAAGTCTGGTCCTGACATTTCATCAATTCCCGTCAATATCAGATGTAAGTCTGGTCCGGACATATAACACCTTCCCGTTAATACCAGCTGTAAGTCTGGTCCTGACATTTCATCAATTCCCGTCATTACCAGCTGTAAGTCTGGTCCTGACATTTCATCAATTGCCGTCAATACCAGCTGTAAGTCTGGTCCGGACATATAACACCTTCCCGTCAATACCAGCTGTAAGTCTGGTTCGGACACATAACACCTTCCCGTCAATACCAGCGGTAAGTCTGGTCCGGACATATAACACCTTCCCGTCAATACCAGCTGTAAGTCTGGTGATATCATCGTAACACCTTCCGTCAATACCAGCGTAAGTCTGGGTGACATATAACACCAGACCCGTCAATACCAGGTGATATCAGACCACTGGGTGACATATAACACACGTAATACCAGCTGTAAGTCACGTAGGGTGATATCAGACCACGTAGGGTGATATCAGATCACGTAGGGTGATATCAGACCACGTAGGGTGATATCAGACCACGTAGGGTGATATCAGACCACGTAAGGTGATATCAGACCACATAGGGTGATATCAGACCACGTAGGGTGATATCAGACCACGTAGGGTGATATCAGACAGACCACGTAGGGTGATATCAGACCACGTAGGGTGATATCAGACCACGTAGGGTGATATCAGACCACGTAGGGTGATATCAGACCACGTAGGGTGATATCAGACCACGTAGGGTGATATCAGACCACGTAGGGTGATATCAGATCACGTAGGGTGATCACGTAGGGTGATATCAGACCACGTAGGGTGATATCAGACCACGTAGGGTGATATCAGACCACGTAGGGTGATATCAGACCACGTAGGGTGATATCAGACCACGTAGGGTGATATCAGACCACGTAG